TTTAAAAAAATACTAATTACATTATTTTGTTCTTATGTTTTCTTTAAAATATATTAATATTATTATTTGGACTTGGTGTGTCGATTTATTATAAGTTAAGATACTTTTATTTTGTTAGTAGTTAAATAAATAAAACATAAGGTATTTAATATTAATTTTTAGGCCCCGACTAGGCGCCGCCTAGGCCCCGCCTAGGTGCTCTAGGCGCTAGGCGTTGGTCGAGCGCCTAGCGGGCGCCTAGCGACTTTTAGAACAATGATATTTACATTTGCTGTGCATCAAAACTAAAACTTAAAATTTAAAGTAATTGGAGTTCATTAGTCTAATTTTTTTTTTTTTTTTTTGTACAGATATTTATATTTTATTTAATTATACTTATTCGATAAAAAAATATATCTTCAACTAACGGTTAAATAATTATACTTTTCCATTAAATACATATACTTATAAATTAAAATTTTATAATTGTGGTGACAAATATTTATATTTTCAATCAATTAGACAATAATATTTTTTCGACAAATATTTACACTTTCAAATTAAATTCTTATATTTTAAGAAACAACGTCATTAAAACTATGATGCTTTTTGATTGATGTATTTCTATTGTAAATATATGAATGGATCAACTTAAAGGCCAGGCCAATTATACAAAAAATACTGTAAATCATATGATCAACTTAGAGGCCAATTAAAAACCAAACAAAAGTTTTTGTTTTGACACAAAAATCTTAAGCTGTAAGTCAAATATTTTTACAATCAGAGTGTCTATCAGCATTGATCACATAAAAAATCATCCGAATTTCATCCTCAAACACAATGTACAGAGCCTCAAATGAACCAAAATCATGAAGGGAAAGAAAGAAAAGATAAAAAATAAAAAAGCAAGCGGACAAGTTTCTAAATCAGATACATAAAAAATCCATTTTAAAGAAAAAAAAAAAATTCCTAAAATGCAATTTCACAGGGAGCATGAAATGTTCTTCCTCGGCAGATAGCCTCCAGATTCTCTCCAGCATACGAGCAAAGAGGCGAAACTTCCACACCTGATGATTCAAAAACGCAAAACAAAACCCATTTTTTCAGTTGAACATTTATTTCTAATGACCATTAAAATAGATAAAAGTTTTTTTTTTTTTTGGTGAAGCAGAAAAATTACCAGTAGCATATAGGGGCACAGAGTGAGTCAAGAAGCCTCCGGCAGCAACCACCCAACGAGCGTGCAGGCGAAGGACAAGCAAACGGGCGCTATCTGGAGTGTCGAAATTCGACC